CAGGTTTTCAACTGGCTCGCTAGTCACTCTGGTCAGCTTCAGAATATAAGTTTGCCGGTTTTGAGCGAGCGTGTGTGCTTTTTATTCCCTGGTTGGGGATAAAAAACAGCTTCTAAAGCACAGCTGATCGTCTCAGACAGAGAAGCAATGAGAAAAGCAGGGAAAGCATAGATGATGGCTTCACTCATTAGCGCCTCATTAGGGCTGAAAAACAGGTTCGAAAAAGCTACATTTGCACCCAAATTCTTCTTTTAGGGGGGAAAAAGTGTGTCTTATATTCTAAAAAATATGGGTAATCTATTGGGGCTGGGTTTTGTTTTGTGGTTTTTGTGTGCCTTCCAGTCATTATTGACTCTTGATGACTGCCTGGACAAATCCAAGCCATTGTTCAAAAACAGTTTTGCCCTTTCCTCTGAGGATTGAGAGAAAAAAATGTTCCAAATTCATCCAGTTGTGCCTGAATCAGAAATAGAACTCCTAGCCTTCTTCCAGTTTCTAATCCAGCTGCTTTAACCAGTACACCAAACTAGTTTTCCACTTTGTGCAGGTTGAATCAAACAAGGCATCCAAATGATAGTTTCTTATATTCCTTCTTTAAAGTTGAAGTGTAGCTTTTACCATCCAATTTGCAAATGTTTCAAGGGCCATGTATCAGTTTTGATTAAGTGGATAGAGCAGATAATAAGGAAAGTTATCCGACTGACCTTTATTTGTTGGCTTAGAAGTTAGCTAGAACATCAGTTGAAAAAAAACTCTTTGTCAACACATGTACTTATGAGTCTTACTAGATCAGTGGTTCCCAAACTTGGCAACTTTAAGACTTGTGGACTTCAACTCCCAGAATTCTCCAGCCAGCAGAGCTGGCTGGAGAATTCTGGGAGTTGAAGTCCACATGTCTTAAAGTTGCCAAGTTTGGGAACCACTGTACTAGATGGACTGGAATATATTTCTAGGCTAGTTTGTATACACAGTGTATACAACCACAAACACCACAAACACCATCCGTCCTTGCCCCTATTCAGTAAAACGGTTCTTGGAAACAAGCTTTTGTATAAAATGTTTAGCTGCATTATTATTTACCTAATGTAATCTTACATGTGACTATTCCAATGTGAATTCCATTAGGCTTATTCCTAAGTAAGAAAGTAATAAAATTGCAGCTTTATTAAGCAGCAAAGGAAGAATTCCCTCACTTCTACCTCTCTCCCCAATTATGATCATCGGCTCACAATATAGAAACAAACTGCCATCTGTGAAAACATAATTTGTGCTTCATGTTGCATGCATCAGCATAGCTAGGCTTTTTTATATATGAAGTTATTCTGGTCTGCTCTTCATTATTTAAGCAAATAATAAACTTCTGAGGTCCTGGATGCAATAGGAATCGCCCTAAAATATGGGGTGGGGAGGGGGGCGTAGGCAGTAGATGATTACAGTTACTATTTTATCTTTTTTACAATTACATGACTGCATTTGCCCTTAAACATAAGAAGACTCGTAAGCAATGTATAAAATATGTTATAAAAATTGCAAAGCAAAACCAAATAAAATGAAAAATGTTCATTAGAATAGAATTGCTGGTGGAATTACTGACGGAGGCATGGGAAGACCAACATAAGAAGGTAGCTTTTTAAAATATGTCTAAAGTACACCAACATTGGAGCTTGATACACCACAGAGGATACTTTCTTTCAAAGCACAAGGCCACAATTCCTTACTTCACACCACCTCCAAGTGGCTATTCATTGACAGTGGCATAGAGCAGTGTTTTTCAACCACTGTGCCGTGGCACACTAGTGTGCCGTGACATAGTGTAAGGTGTGCCGTGGGAGAATTACTTTATATATAGTCAATATAGGCACAGAGTTAAATTTTTTTAACATTTTCTAATGGTGGTGTGCCTCGTGATTTTTTTCATGAAAAAAGTGCGCCTTTGCACAAAAAAGGTTGAAAAACACTGGCATAGAGAAATGGGTTTTTTCTAACCATCATACCAGAGGTGGGTTGCTCCCGGTTCGGCCCGGGTTAGGCAAACAGGTAGTGGCAGCGGCTCCGTACCCCACTTGGACACTTCTGCACATGTACAGAAGCATCGTGCGAGCACAAGTGTGCGCATGAGCAAACCGGTGGTAAAAAAAATGGAAACCCCATCACTGCATCATACATACTCCAGTGACTAGGTAACTTGAAGGGCTGCATACTTTTAAAGAGATCTTTTTGGCATGTCCATATATCTGTAAATTCAGGTTGGCCAGGCAAAGTCCTGCATATGGGCCATCTAGGATAGATAGAAGTACAACCATGTGGCTTTCAGAGGGGGGCATCTTTCCCAACAATTACTTGTACAATCAAAGGAGTGGACTGTTTTAGCATCATTAAGCAAGTCCCAAAAGAATAGGACAATGATTTGTCCCTTCCTTCCTTCCTTCCTTCCTTCCTTCCTTCCTTCCTTCCTTCCTTCCTCTTGTTTGGTCCAATTCAACTAACCTAACCCTTTGGAAGGATCAGTTTGTCTATATAAATGTGCACCCGCACACAGATTGAGGCTGTGTTCCTGCTACTCCTGCAGTCCTTTGCTCCAGGCCTTATTTTTACACAGATTTTGTAACATGATTAGGCAGTTCTGAAGGGTGGTTCCAGTTTTCATCTGGGTGTGATATTTCCAGTGCTTCAACAGGGCTCTGTAGAATGTCTCCAGTTCTTGCTAGGGCCTCTGTTTCAAGCTGCCTAACAAAACGAGCTTTGATTCCTGCCTTCTTGGTCTACCCATATACAAACACAAATGGCATTTCAGTTTCTTCAGGGATGCTTGGGTGGGTGGGTGGAATGAACATGAATTGCAGTATCAAAGAAAATGTAATTTTTTTGGAATCTCACCTCATAATTGCAACGCGGGAGGAGACTCTGCCCCTAGTCTTCCCTAGTTCTAGCACTTGGTCATCTGCCTTGATTTTCCTGGCAGTTAAACTGCTCTATCCAAGGCAAGCTCCCTTTGCAAAAAAAAAGGGGGGGGGAGAATGTGAGGACAGATGTTTCAGTAAGTCCACCACTGTCCTCAGTGCCTGTCGTCTCCGTGGGCCAGCTGGCTTTTCTTTTCGTATGATGAACTTTTTCAAATTGTACATTATCAGCAAGCAGAGACTTTCAGAGGGCAAACCAAATCCAACTAAATATCTAATCTATAAAGTAAATATCTAATCTAATCTAGCAAATCAAAAGCTATGAGGACAAAGCTCCATAGAATTCCATGTATCTCCAGGAGATACATCAGTTTTCTTAAGTTATTTGGAGAATTGAAGCAACATTGGACAAGAACTGAACACACGTGGGGGGGGGGAACCCCAGTCATTAGAAATGTGTGTCACCATCTCTTTGAGTTCTCCAAGAAGGCAAAGATCAGACATGCCTGATTAACACAGCCAATAAAGAAACACTGCAGGTCACTAGCCAGAAATAAAGGTTTGTGTTCAGAAACCCTGCAGTGAAAATTAATTCCCACTGCAGATGCCTGAATTGAGATTGAAGTTGTTGTCTATGATGGCCATTCCTGAAAATGTTGCTTCCCCTTATGCCAACTGTTCCCAGCCTGAAATCCTCCAGAATGTTTGATTTCAGTTCCCAGCAGGAAGGGCTAATACAAACATTGCCTTTTGTCTTTCATGGGGCAAAACACAATAAAAACAATGTTTAGCTTCAAAATAGAAGTAGTCCCCAGGTTATGGCCACATTCCAGTTGCTAACCACCTGAATTTTGATCACATGATCACAGGAATGCTGCAATTCTCATTAATATGAGGACCAGTTGAAAGTCACTTTTTCATAGCCATTGTAACTTTGAACTGTTGACAAATGAATGGTAAGTTGAGTACTTCCTCTTACACTGAAGGTTTTTAACAGAGCTAGGGAGAGGTCCAGATCAAAAGGGCAATATGTGATGCGCACGTGCATGCGCGCACACACACACACACACCATTCCTAGAAGTGTTCATTGCTGCAAATTGCATTTTGCCCATTGAATCTGCTTCACTACAGAGCCCTTTCCCTAACTTCCCAGTGCAATCATTGCATTGTTACTTAAATATTTTCCCTACTATGTGTATGTCATATAATAAGTTATTACTTGTAATGAAGCTGTGCAAAACCTTATGTGGCTATTTGATGTATTTTAACTTATAGCAGGAACTGGGTATGTCTAGTTTAATGAAAAGAAGGACTAGGGGAGACATGATAGCAGTGTTCCAATATCTCAGGGGTTGCACAAAGAAGAGTGAGTCAAACTATTCTCCAAGGCGCCTGAGGGTAGAACAAGAAGCAATGGGTGGAAATAATCAAGGAGAGAAGCAACTTAGAACTGAGGAGAAATTTCCTGACAGTTAGAACATTTAATCAGTGGAACAGCTTGCCTCCAGAAGTTGTGAATGCCCCAACACTGGTAGTCTTTAAGATGATGTCGGATAGCCATTTGTCTGAAACGGTATAGGGTTTCCTGCCTAGGCAGAGGGTTGGACTAGAAGACCTCCAAGGTTCCTTCCAACTCTGCTATTGTATTGTATAAGACACTTCAGAAGGGCAGTCAGTAGAGTATCTAGCAAGCTATGTAAAAAGCTGACATATTCAGGTAACAAATGATACCTACCCAGAGCCACATTTTTTAAATTTATATATCTATGTATATGTATACGTATACGCACACATACATATATACATACATACATACATACATGTGTGTGTGTGTGTGTGTGTTGTATTTGTGCTGATAAATAAATAAAGCACAAATGCAACACAAATGTAACAAAGGCAACAGTAAAAATAATGGCTTTCTGTCTGGATGGTCTCTTGGGATGAGCCGATAGACAGAGAAAGGAAGAAGTATGCTTCCTCCCATATTTGGGCATACCAGGGGTTGTGACACAAAATACGTGTGTGTGTGTGTGTGTGTGTGTGTGTGTGTGTGTGTGTTTGTTTGTTTGTTTGTTTGTTTGTTTGTTTTAAAATTTCAGTTCACAGGCCTCTTTTTAGGTGTTCTTCATCATTCCAGTATAAGAAGTATGCTCAAATTTGCTATACAGTATGCTCAAATTTGCTATACAGTATGCTCAAATTTGCTATACAGTATGTGCTCACAAACAAATTGAAAAATATTTCCTTAATGTGATGCCTATTTTTATCATCCTTTGTTTGTTGGGATGGGCTAGATATTTTCAAAATTATTTGAATTAGGTACCTCAATCTGATCTGACATGTATATTTGATGTTTTCCAGTTTACTACATATCCTTAGTGGTGTCCCACATGCTACCTAAAATTTTAACTAAATGCAGCTGTGGATTTTAAAAATTACTCTGGTTACATGCTTTTGGAGGCTGACAAGCAAATTTGAAAAAGTCTACATGTGGGGGGGCTTGTGCATGCAAAACAGAATAATGACCAGAATTCACTCTTCCTCTGCATGGATAAAGCAAGATGAAGCAAAAAGGAAAACCTGGAATTTGCTCCTATTCCACTGGTCACTATAAAAGTTAAGAAATTCATCCTTCCCATTAAAAAAAAAAAAGTTTAAATTTTGATATTTTTCATTATTTTCCAGTTAATAAATATTTATTTTATAAAGTTTCAAGGTGTTATTTATTATATAGAATTCTATTTAATTATTAAAAATAAATATATTTGTTTGCCAACTTTAATATCCTGAAGTAGTCCACATGTGATATACTATTAAGATAAAAATATATGAAAATATAGAGTACATAAAAATTGCATAAAATATAATTGGATTGTTCAAAAATTCATTTCAAATCAAGCAGACTTGAGCATCGCCTATGTTTTCCCCTTCAAAACAATCATTCTATCATCTATCATCTCTCTCTTTCTCGCTCTTTTATCTATCTAGCCTTCGTGCCTATGAAAAAATCACCGGCACACCAGTTGCTGAGTTACTTACAGCCTTTCAGACTTTAACCAGCAGAGGGCAGTGCTCTCTATTTTTTTTGCAGCACTTCCTGTTAGAAGATGTTTTTGGGGTAGACACTACTGATTGTGGCTTAGACTAATGACAGGCAGACCAAATTTTCTGACTTTTGTTTTTTATTTTTTAATCCAGGAGAGTCCTCCCATGGGCTTTTTTTTTTTTTGCAGCTGTGCTGCAAGGGCTGCTAAAGGAGACACCCAATTAAAAAAGTATTCTTTTAGAGAAGACCTTATTCCCTTGGAGAAATTCAGAAAAACTTCCTTTCCATTTTCTCTACTTATTTATGCTCAGCTGTACTGGCACTCTTTAGCACAGGTTTTGGCCTGCTTTGGATTGCAAAAAAAACCCAACAATCCCTAAATAATTTGTACGTTTTTTTCCCAGCAGAATACTCGCAAGAACCTATCCCAACATTGTGGAATGATTCACCAGAGCTGCCATCAGGTGGAGGAGCTGTAGAAACCACCCCTCCTGCCCACTTCTCAGATTCTACAGGATTCCCATCCTATACATCTGATTATGAACTAGAGGACACAACCCATCACCACCAGCTGGATAATAACAATGGTATCCGTGCTTGGCAACCAGGTTGATTATTGGGCGGGTCCTAGTGACATCTTGTCAGGCCTTCTAATGAAGGGTGGCAGAATTTACAGATTCCCCTGGGGCCACATGCCTATCAAGGAAAGAATGAAGCTATGTATTATTGTTGAGTGGGTCCTGAATATACATATAGCACTTTTCATTCTTGCTGACTATATCAATCCAATGGGATCTTTTAGGATCATTTTTGTTCCTCTATTACAATTAAGTTTACAAGTTTAAGGCAGTGGCCCCCAACCTTTTGTGTATCAGGTATTAGGTTCAATGGAGAAAGGTTTTTCTGCAGAGAGGAGGGGGCATGGTTTTATGTGCTGGGCAATGCGACCAGACCTGGGGTAAAGCAGGAATGCTGCTTATGACAAAGGTACGCCTGATATCTTAGTAGGCAAATGCAAAACATGAGAGATCTGGGGATAGAATGTTCTAAAGAATAAGAGATATCTTGTTCAGACCCATGATGTGCCTCCTCTAGGCCAGGCTTTTTAGTGGTCAGTTGATAATTGTCCAGGAGTAAATTGTTCAGACTAGAAGTGATTCAAGTTATTCTGAACATTCCAGTATGGATCAACAAACATAGAATACTGTCCTCTATTTTGACTTGTTTTTAAAATGCATTATCATAAATAAAAATGTATTTAGCTTTAATCATAATTAGCAATGAGAAATTGAAAAATGGAAGCTATCACATTTAATAAAGCTAGGCTTGTGCCAGAGGTGGGTTTCAAATCCCAGCGCTACCAGTTCGCTTGTGCGTGCCCTCGAAGCATATGTTGTGTCTGGGTGGGTGAGTAAGCGGAGCCTGCTGCTGCCGCCACTACCAGTTTGGCTGATCCGGGCTGAACCAGAAGCAACCCACCTGGCTTGCGCCGTTCAGATCATAATCTGGCTCTGTTCAGGGACTTCAACTCTACTTTTGCTATGACTCGCTGGTTTAGCTTTAAACACAGATAAACAAAAGGTTATCCAATTATTTTTATTTTTCATATATCAACTATATATCAATTTTATGTTATTTCATCTCTAGTTTAGGACTTCAAAATTTAGTCTGGTTAACTTGCCATTTTGAATTCAAGGAGATAGAAGGCAACATATCACAACTTGAGTTGGAGTATAACATACATATTTTAAAATAATAAAACACCTGAATATTAACAGTTATCTTGGCATGATGAAGTGGCTTGTTATTGCAATCGTCTGCAATATCCTTTCAACTTTGTATTTTAAAGTACTGGCCTTCCCAGTTGATCAGGGTTTTCCCTCAGAGGGGATCAAAAGGATGATCATAATAACCATGTGATTGCATTCTTTTTAAATATGTATCATGGGCATCCTTGAGGGAGCAATGATTCCCTATCTTGGTCAGCAGCTGCTTATCTTTTGAGCTCTTCCAAGGCTCACCTAGTGGTGACCCAGGACTGGGAATGCAACATACTAGCCTGGCGCTTTCTTTCCCCACTACTGTAGTCTTATGCAATATAAAAATGGAGGGGAAGAGCCAGAGCTCTTTAGCCCCACCCTTAAATGTAGGTATCAGCCACTCATTTAGAAAATATGATAGAATCATTATAGTCAATATAGTTGAGCAACTGCAGGGGTATCGTATTCTCCTCCTGCAACTGCGGTTTTAGGCATAATCTACTAAATTATTTTGGCCTTTTGAGTGTATCTCATTTTTAACTAATTTATTATTGCATTGTTTGCTGTACATGCCAAATCCAAGTGTTCTTCTGTTCTCTCTCATCTCATCTGCAGAGTCTCTGGGTCCTGGAGCTATCGGTGCCATAGTGATTGCTGCTCTGCTGGGAGCGTCTGTGATTGTGGCCTTGATTGTTATCACTCTACGGAAATGTTCTACTTCCTAAAATTAATAAAAAGTGCTTTCGTCTCCCAAGTATACTTTTGTTGAACCTTCCTCTTTCCTCCAGGCTTGCTTATTTTGGGAGAGGATAGGAAGAATAAAGGTACACCTGGATTTCAAAGGTCAACCTGTCCACAAGCCACCTTGGACCATGGTCCTGGTGCTTCTTTCCTTTCAGACAAAGGGCCTTTGAAATGCAAGATCTAATAATTGCACAGTTGGAAGTTGGGTGGGAGGTACATCTATACTGACCGAGAAGCTGCTACAAGCATCAAGTTCCTGACAAGAAGACGCTTTGCACCACCAAATATGAAGCCCATGCATTACTGAAAGGCCACATTATGTTCATCCAAGTATTTAAAGGCACGTATTAAAAATCACTATGAAGGCTTGATTGCTAAAGCAAAAATAAACCCATAACCAGCAGCTTAGCTTTTGATTCCTGAAATACTATTGCTGGGGAGTAAGAACAAGCTGTTCTGTATTTATTTTCAGATGGCCTGATTTTATATACTGTTCTGTTATAATGAAACAAGCCTCCTCCCTCCCCAAATACTATGTTTGCCCTGGCTTTTTTTTAAAGGAGCCAAGTTTTGTTAACATTGAATATAATTTGGGGGAGAGATGAGGAACACTAAGGTTGAAAAAAAAACTATACAAACTTTTCCTTTGTTTGTGTAGAACAACAGCATCATTTATTGCATACCCTTACGAACATGCACTTCTATTTATTTGACCAATAATATATGACCGAGTGGTGCAACTACTATAAACATCAGTGTGAAACTCTACTCACATCTCTCACATTGGTTTGGGAGTTCATTGTGAAGTAGCATATTATCTCAGTTGTAGATTAGTTTGTGTCAAGGGGTACTTGATTACTGGCTTGTGAGGTTAGAACCACTCTGGCCATTCCTATGAGCCATGCAGCCACTTAAGATAAGCTTTTGCAGTTCTGTTGCATAGGTTTGGTAGATTTAAAAAGGAGGTTGAAACTTTCCAGTGGTAGATTTGGCTTAAACCATCCTTAGACTTTATACTGTATCACATCAGCTAACCTAAAATGAGCTCTTCTTTCCATTTACAAAGAGCTTTCTCTGCCAGGATTTATCTATGCTCCCTTAGATATTGGAATAGCTTCTCAGAGTATTCAATCTTAAATTGTTCTTAAAAGTATGTTGACGTGGATCGCAATTGTTGGGCTCCAAATTTTCCCCAGTTCCAGCCATCCTGATGAATTGTCATGGATTCTGGGAATTATAGCTGAACATCCAGAGAATCATAGGTTCCTCATTCCTTCTCTAAAATATTAATATATCACAGATATTAATATACCTAATATTTATTCATGCATAACAAGAGATCCTTTGAAAGATGGCTTTTTTCTATTGCTTACAGGATTCTTCCCCAAACCTAACCCTATGAATGTATATGGGGCTAAACTTCCATAAAGTCCAGCTAACATTACCAGGTCATCCTTTTATAAAGACATACTTGTTCAACTTACAGGAACTGACTTGTACATTGCTACAATTTTTAGGTGATATTTTCATGTTTTTATACAATCTTATCTCCGTAATTATTTTGCAAGTAAATTACTCCAAGGCACAGCAATGGCACAAGCAACACATGGCTGGCATTAGATTAACATTGTGAGACGGGAATGGACGCTTCCCTCCAAAACTCAGCCACTTTAGTATTTTTAGACATGTATCAGTATAGCTAAAAAAAAAACACCTTAATGCAATTTGGAAAATTCTAATTTTGGTAATAATGAAACACTAGGATCATATTTTAATAATACTGGTCACAACTACATTGGCTGGGAACATATGAGTGAGTGAGGGTTTTTCCTAATATAATGATTACAAAAGTTTTCATATATTCACGCTCTACCCTTTCAAGCTGAACAGTCTTACTTCTAAAAATTGGTGTTAGTGATAATATAGAAAAGAATCATTTGGACCAATGGCTTTTCATATTATGCAGCAGTTTCATCTCTTCAAAAACCCTCTCGTTTTTGAGCAAATTAATACTTTGTTATGTTTGTGCCTTGCAGAAAGGGCATTTAATAAATTATTTTAGGAATATATAAATAAATGCTTCTTGATAATTGCTTCTGTAACATTTTTAATATGCAAAATGTTTTACAACCTTTTAATCTATTAGGCTCGGCACCATAGCTGACCATGTGGCTTTTCCAAAATGAAAAGGATCTTGATGCTGTTTATGGCTCTGTATTAAAATGATCAGACATTTCTTGTTCTTTTGGCTCAAGACTTTCCTGTACACAAGTTTAAAGTACAGACTTCATGCACTTTGCTAAGGGTGCACAACAAATGAGTAAAACCACATTTCTATTACTTTGATACAACTTTGGAGACATTTAATACAAACATCCACCTTTTGTCTCAGGTCCACTGAATTTCTTTGCATGGGCATTGGCTGTTATTGGTGCACAATGGCAGAGCAAAGGAGCAAAAGACAGAACTTTATTGTTCTGACTCTCAATGAGTTACCGATGCTTCCCAGATGTAGCACCCATCTGGAATGTTATGAATAGCTTATTTGGCTGTGAAAACATGTTCTCTGCTTTTCTTTTACTTTTTTCAGCATATGCAAACGCTTCAGTGTATGCAAGAGACTCAAGCAGAGAAAACTCTTCAAGGGATATTGTCTCAAATATTGAATTCTCTTATACAGTTTAGTGCAGCATTTGCTTAGGACAAACCCCTTAATACATTGGTCCCCAATCTTTGTGACTTGGCGGCTTGGTTGGGGAGGGGAACTGAGCTGTGTGAGTGGCTGGCCAATGTGCACGGACATACAGCCCTTGTGCAAGTGGTGGGCCAACATGCATGGGTGCAGCTCGACTTACACAGCAGAGGGCCGGCATACACACATGCAATTGCCTGCCAGCACACCACTTGTGTTCTGGCAAGCCACTCACATGGCCCAATTCCAAATAAGCCACAGCAGGTACTGAGCTGTGGCCCAAAGGTTGGGAACCCCTACCTTAATATACTCCCCATTCTGGCACTAACTCCAAACACAGCTATACTCTGTCTGGTTGCCAGTGGTAAATGTATGAGATAACTGGTGTTTGGATAAGTAAGTGCAGTTAGTGATTGCTTAGACAGGGAGTAATGGTTCTTATATAACAGAATAATTAATTCAGTATTGTCCCTGCATAATGTGGTTTGACATACATCATTTTGAGAAGAGTAGACCGCACAGGTCAATAAAATAGAAGGATGATAATCTGAGTTCCCAATTGGAACCAACTGATCCCTATTTTAGAAAATGTACTTTGCATGATTCAATCTTACCTTCTAGAACTTTGAAGTTCATAACCAAGACAAAATAAATATTGTGGTGCATTTTAACTACATAACATTGCACTTCCTAATCTTTTTGTTACCTCCACCTTTCTTCCAAAACATAAGAAGAAACTAGTTTATCACATGAGCAGTTCAAACTCAGGTCCTAGGAGAAACTTCCTAAGTATAGAAATATGGAAGTTGACCATTTATAGTATAAACTTTCAATGTAGTATTGTCCACAACTTCATTATCTTTCCTTAAAATCAAATGCTGCACTTTTTTGTACCATTGGATAAGATGCTAAAGAACCAAGTTGCTGGATTTACGGACAATGACACAATTTTCCCAGTTGCTCAAGTGATTAGTTTCTTCATCATGCAGAGTTAATAAATTTACAATCTTCAGAGTATGCAGTACATTAGGAAAGACATTTACAGCTTCTACATCTGTACAGGTGAATGACAGCCCCTCTTCTTTTCAGTCTGTCTTCAGAAAGACTGTGCAACTTGTAATGAGAATGCAAGGAAGCCCGATGGTTCATAGGTGAAAGGATTTGCTTGCCAAAATATGATTCATGTGCATTCTCTCAAGCACAACATTTCATTGTCTCAGCTTCTGCAATAAATAACTTCTGAAAACCAGACGACTCCGCAATGATCATTGTTTATTCCTGCTGCCCATCTTCCTCCTCTGACTGTCATCAGTTTTGTGCACTCGGAAACATTCCTTTAAATTTTGAGATCGAATCTTGGGATTCATAATCTCTTCACCCATAGAACTGGGGAACCAACCTCTTTCTTGATCATGCAAACGTTCCCCAAATATCCAACCTGGAGTAAAAGACAAGATAGTGATGGTAGAAGAAATGTACTAATAAGAGATCAAATTCATATCAGCTTAATAATTCAATATGCAGAAAGTATTTTATTAATTAGGATGTTTTGTGAAGGTGACTATACCAGTGTTTCTCAACCTTGGCAACTTGAAGATGTCCGGACTTCAACTCCCAGAATTCCCCAGCCAGCATTCGCTTCAATTCTGGGAGTTGAAGTCCAGACATCTTCAAGTTGCCAAGGTTGAGAAACACTGGACTATACCATCTTAAGTATGAAACAGATCCTACATAAAGAAAATGTAAGAATACAGTTTCATTACACTGAAATATCTTAGTATTACTATAGTTTTAATTAAGAGTATGACAATGTATACACATATTCATTTCCTTGGGCCACGACTACAGGAATGCTCAAATATACTGCAGTCTCCCATCCTTAATGATGCAAATAAAATAGTTTCCATTGTAATGGAACGGGGACATAGCAATAGCAATAGCAGTTAGACTTATATACCGCTTCATAGGGCTTTCAGCCCTCTCTAAGCGGTTTACAGAGTCAGCATATCGCCCCCACAGTCTGGGTCCTCATTTCACCCACCTCAGAAGGATGGAAGGCTGAGTCAACCTTGAGCCGGTGAGATTAGTACCGCTGAACTGCAGATAACAGTCAGCTGAAGTGGCCTGCAGTACTGCACCCTAACCACTGCGCCACCTCGGCTCTTAGTCAGACATGACTCTGCATAAGTCTTGTTGCTCTTACCGTCGTCTGTCTTTTCCAGAATGTTGAGAACATCAGCCAATTCCAATGAAAGCTCATCTGGTTGCTGGGCCACGTAAGGATGGACACATTGTACTTGAGGGCAATCTGT